TAGGTAGGTTGATAGGTTCTAGGAAACATGTATAGTAGGTAGGTAGGTAGGTACTAGGAAACAAACATGTATAGTAGGTAGGTATGTAGTTACTAGGAAACATGTATAGTAGGTAGGTAGGTAGGTACTAGGAAAACATGTATATATAGATAGGTAGGTAAGTACTAGGAAACATGTATAGTAGGTAGGTAGGTAGGTACTAGAAAACATGTATAGTAGGTAGATAGGTAGGTACTAGGAAACATGTATAGTAGGTAGGTAGGTAGGTACTAGGAAGCATGTATAGTAGGTAGGTAGGCAGGTACTAGGAAACATGTATAGTAGGTAGGTAGGTAGGTACTTGGAAACATGTATAGTAGGTAGGTAGGTAGGTACTAGGAAACATGTATATGTAGGTAGGTAGGTAGGTACTAGGAAACATGTATAGTAGGTAGGTAGGTAAAGGTTTCAAAGGTACCGTTGTGTATGGTACTTCGTCATCTATGCATGAAGGGTCACTTGAAATTATGCTTACAATCCCTTTAAAGGGAGTGAAGACTGTCCTGAGAGGTATGTCGGACTTTTTAAAATAAAAACGTGCTAAACTCTGACATTTTCCTCATTTCTCTGTAGCATATAAATCAAGCAAGTGAATTTTATAGAAATTGAAAATAGACAATTTTCAGATATACCAATATGTTGGTGTTTCAATTATCACAACAATTTAAAATAAGTTTAATGGGAACTGTTTGGAATCGGACAAACCACTTCTAATAAGTCTACAGTCTCTTTAAATCCGACTTTATAAAACATATTTACTACAAAATTATTTGCTGAACTTTTAAAGTTTTCTTTATTTTCTTATTCCTTGTATACATTTCTTCTATTCTATCCATCCTAGCTTTATGCTCAGATTCTTCAGATCTTAAGAAAAAATAGTCAATATGTTAGAAATATCAAAGGTTTACCCCATCAGGTTGCAAAGATATTGGGAAACAGGACTACTTTGAGTTTGTGGCAAAGACTTAATTCCTTTGTTGGAAGAGGTGACTAATTTTGATTGCAGGAATATTAGTTTATGTCCGTCCATGTCGTCATTCCTTTATCTTTTTTTAACGTAAAAAAAATAGAAACATTTGCATAATTCAAAAAAAATTATTTAAAACAACATGTCAATAATAAACAATCAGACTTCATGGATCTCTTTCAGAGATCTCTTTTAATTTCACAATCTTCAAAAGGTTTATTAATGAATTAGAGGATATCACTTTGCAACAGGAATTTAGTTTTTGCCACAAACTCTACATATTTGAAACCCAATGCCGTAAACCTTTGATATTTCAAACTATGAATTATGTTGGAGGATATAATCTAATTTTGAAATATCAAAGGTTTACACCATCAGGTTGCAAAAATCTAGGAATTAGATAATTTGAGTTTGAGACTAAAGACTTAATTTCTTTGGCAAAGAATGTTTACAGGGAACCTTTGTCAGTTGTGATCTATTCTTGCAGGGAAGAAATGTCATGTCCAGAGGCTGCTTATGTTGAACGTCTACCTCCCTGGAAAATTAGGGGGACACTCCCCCCCCTCCCCTGAACAAATTAGGAGCCCAAGAAGAGAAAACAGGCACCCTCTAGTCCTTTAAATTTTAAATGAATATTTTCTTTATACAAATCCAAATCTTGTTAACTCATTGCCACCTTCCACCCGGTCCCAAACTGCTCATGGTTAGATCAAAAATGTTAGCACATTCATTCAATATCATAAGCCGCCCCTGCTCATGTCATTTAAGATAGCAATTCTTTAAAATTAATGAGAAGTATTTTATCTACAATGCATTAAACGAGTAATTAATTATAATATTGAATAGAGTCTAATATGGAGATGATAAATTAATTAATCAAACCCCCGCCATAGTTTCTAAACAACTAGATGTAAGCATTGTTCTTAATAAACTAGATGTAAGTATTGCTCTTAATAAACTAGATGTAAGCATTGCTCTTAATAAACTAGATGTAAGCATTGTTCTTAATAAACTAGATGTAAGCATTGTTCTTAATAAACTAGATGTTATAGTTCTAGGCATGTAATGTAGCATGTATAATAATAGAATAATGCAATATTCATGTTTGATTCTTACCAGTGGTGATGATGAGGAGGGGGGGGTAATTTTTGGTAATTTCATTACTAGACCTCTAGTAAAGTACAATAGTTTATAGAGATGAATATTCGATTCACAACGGTACCATTATGAATTATGATATTTGTGTTAAAAATTTTGAAAACAGCTTAATTTTAATTGTGGTTTTTATACAAAAGGGACAATTGCGCATTTCTGGTGTAGGAAAACAATGTAAAAATTATCAGAATTATAACGCTGTTTAACCTTGAAAAATGACGCTAAATTCAACATAATTTAGGTGTTAAAGGGTGTTAAAGGGTATAGTTGTAAATCTGGAAAGCCTCTCTGTCAACCTATTACTCTCAGCTATCTTGTCAATAGGGATGCCTATATACCTATTACTCTCAGCTATCTTGTCAACCCTGATTCGATCAAGGTTCACTTTTCTACTCAGAACACTCTCCAACCTCTTCTCCAGCAATCCACGAAAGTTTTTGTGAAAATCTGCGAATTATTTTTGTTTTGTTTTACGATGTATACAAAGAGAACATGTTCACAATTAATTTAGAAGACGGGCGCGAAGCGCCCTTTAAGGCTAGCATATATATATACAAGTAAACTATGCTGAACTATATCTTAGTTTTTTCATACATTGACACAGTTCAGTTACACTGTACAATGTTCATTTATTGTATACACTGTTCAGCTATTGTACTTGTACTGAACATGATTCTGTAAAACTTTCTGTACTAAAATTTTATTGTGCACCTTTCTTTACAGACATTTTTAATCGACTGTACTTGTCCTGTGTAGTCCTTTGCAAAAGCTGCTGTATCTTACTAGCTGTGTATCCCTCGGTACTTGTATTAGGTATCCCTTTGTACTGCTGTATCTGTAATATGCATCCTTTTATACTGCTATAGATCTGTATTATGTATCCATTTGTACTGCTGTACCTGTACTGTGTATCCCTCGATACTGCAATATCTGTATTATGTATCCTTTTGTACTGCTGTACCTGTACTGTGTATCCCCGGTACTGCTGTATCTGTACCGTTTATCCCTCTGTCCTGCTGAACCTGTACTGGGAATCCCTTTGTACTGTCTTCCCCTCCGTACTGTACTGTCTGTACTTTGTATCCCTCTGTACTACTGTACCTGTACTGTGTATCCCTCTGCAAGAGCTGCTGTACAGCTGTATCAACGGAAGATTTTCTTGTTTCTTCTCTCTCCCTCCATTGTCGAATTAAAGTTCGCTAAAAATATTTTCAAATATCTATATAATTTTACAAATTTTAGGATTCATTTCACTGGTTTCAACTATGATGTTTTGAAACACTTACAATTGATTTATCATTATTTTTTGTGTTTCTTTTAGTAAAAAAAAATTGTTTGTTATAATTTCCCTGATTTGAACCTTGATGTTGTCGCTAAAGAACCGTGACAAATTCTTTCTAAGAAGAGTACCGGAATTCTTTATATGAAGGGCACCGGAATTCTTTATAAGAAGGGCACCGGAATTCTTCATAAGAAGAGCACTGGAATTCTTTATATAAAGGGCACCGGAATTCTCTATATGAAGGGCACCGGAATACTTTATGAGAAAAGCACAAGAATTCTTTATAAGAACGGCACAAGAATTCTTTATAAGAAAGGCACAAGAATTCTTTATAAGAAAGGCACCATAATTCTTTATATATAAAGGGCATTGGAATTATCTATAAGAAGGGCACCGGAATTCTTTATAAGAAGGGCACCGGAATTCTTTTTAAGACAGGTACCGAAGTTCTTTATAAGAAGGGCACCGGAATACTTTATGAGAAGAGCACCGGAAGTCTTTATAAGACAGATTCCGGAGTTCTTTATATGAAGGGGATGTGAATACAGTATAAGAGGAGCACTGGAATTCTTTATATGAAGGGGATGTGAATACAGTATAAGAGGAGCACTGGAGTTCTTTATATGAAGGGGATGTGAATACAGTATAAGAAGAGCACTGGAATTCTTTATATGAAGGGGACCGGAATTCTTTACATGAAGGGGACGCTAAAATTTCTTTAAAAATCCCTAGGTAAATAATTCAATTCAGATCCAATTCAAGCGATAATTGTTGTTAGAAAATAAAGGCGAATCTAATGATTAGAATGTCACCTTCTGCCTATTGATGGTTTCTATGAGGTTCTTTTTTCGCTCATCTTTATCTTTTAACAGTTGCCTAAAAATTAAGCAAAAATTGTAGTCACAAAAATAGCAAAAGTATTAAATTATTTATGTATTTATCATAATTCAGGTTTTAATTAAATTATTTATGTATTTATCATAATTCAGGTTTTAATTAAATTATTTATGTATTTATCATAATTCAGGTTTTGATTAAGGGTTACCTGAGGTATTCCTGGGATTCCAGGAATTGTTCTCTAAATTAAAAATATGAAAATTTGGTACTTTTTAATCATTCTTTAAAAAAAATGCAAAACTTTGCGAAATGTATTAATATATAATTGCAAACAAAACATTTTCAATTGATTATCTCAATAAGGTAAGAGAGGGACCCCCCCCCCCCCAACTTCTATTTTGGGTAAAGGAGACGTCAGTAAAATTAAGTTAACCTTAGATTTGCTTTTGACCCTTGATAAAATATTTTCAAAAGTTTCCTTGCAAGTATAAGTCGTCTTTGGCATTCTTCATTTTCTTTCCTTCTCTTTTGCAGCAGTTGCTTTCTGAAAACCATATTCTATTATATATATATATACATACAGTAGTAACCTCTGTTTGTCTTTCTGATCATAACTTTTGAACCCGTTACAGATTAGACTTTTTTTAAGTTGGAAGCTCGGCAGAACCACAGGACTATTTAAAGCATGGCTATATAGTACTGTTAATCAATTACTATGTAAAATATTACTTTTTCTTCTAACTGTCAGCTTGTCTTATAATTGTCTCTCAGCATGTCTCTCAATTGTCATCTTGCTTTAAATATTTGTTGTCAAAATGTGTTGATTATTCCGTTGAATATCAACCCCCTCCCCCCTCCCCACACCTCCCATTGGCTTACCTGAATTCTCTCTCAGTTTCTTTTTTTGTCATCTCTCTGCCTTTCCTGTCCTTTTCCCATTTTCTGCGTTCTTTCTCCTTTCTTCTTTCCTCATACTCTTCCTGATATCTTCTGAACAAATCAAGAACTTACCCGAGTATACTACAATACGAAAGGAAAACTCCTAATTAGCACAAGTCTCAAATTGAAAGAGAGAAAACCAGAAAATCAAGTCCCGCAGTGTAATTGTTACATTCTTTTAAAATTCTAATCCTCTTTTAACGATAAAAAGTATCATTATTATTTGCTTATTATACGCCCTGCAAGAACTTGATATGCCCTTTCTTCAAAATTCTTACTTGAATGCCAGAATTTCAATGATTCTTGATTCTTGTTGGGAGATCTTCATTTTGCTTACATCTATCTCACTCCTAGTTTGAAAATCAAAATTTAATTAATTTTGAAAAAACTAAAATTTAAACATCTAAAATGTATATTTAAACTGAACAAAGTTGAAAATACTATATGTATATGTTAGCTGTAGCTGGCAAAAAGGTGGGCCAAATTGGCTAACATTTTTAATCTATTTTTTCCAAAATGTTCTTAAAATTCAACGGGCAACGCCGGGCACTTCAGCTAGTAATATATATAATATAGCTCTTTGCTCATATATATATATATATATGTTAGCTATAGCTGGCCAAACGGCTGGACCAAATGGGATGAAGTTTGTTAAGGAAACCCATGGATACCCTTGGAGAAGCACAAGCTAAAAATGTTTTCTTTTTTTTTTTGAAAATTCGATTTTTTTCTTAATTTGAATTTTTGGAGTATTTTTAAAATTTCACGGGCAACGCAGGGCACTTCAACTAGTATAAAATAATATTTAACATGCTTAATGTTCACCTGGAAAAAACTTTATGGAGAATCAATTTTTTACTCGGCAAATCAAAATCTCCGCCGCTCCGCCCCATATGGAGTTGTCCGCCCTGGTGTTTAATAAGATACTCTTCTTCATTTATAGTTTCTTCATCCTTTATTGGAGTTTCATTTTCATCCTCTTTCTCCAAGCTTGGACCACGCTTAAATGGAAAAATTAAAATTAAAGGGGTTGTCTATTTGAATTTGAAAGGATAGATTTATAATTTAAATGTACAAGAAAAAGTTCCAAAATTTCAAATTTTCGAAAGAAGAGGGTCCTTTTCCAATTCAAAGTTTCTAGCTCAATTGTGTTCACCTGGTAAATATTTGTTATACTTTCTGCTGTCAGCCGAGTTTTTCTAAAACCATATTTATTATTATAAATAATACTTTAAGGACCATTGTTTACATTTGGAATCAAAACTGACCTGGCAGCTTTCTTTTTTGCACTAGTGGTTACACACTTCTTAGAACCTGAACCATTCCTGTCCTGTAAAGAAAAAAAATGTATTGCACTATATTTGAAAATGCAAAAAAGGTTGAAATTTTATTTTTTTTAATGTAAAAATGCTTACAATGATTTGAACTCTAAGTTGTTTTCTACAGTCATGCTTCCTCATTGACTGATGCACTCTAGTTAAAGTATGCTGAAGAGCATGCGAAGCATGCTGTGAGCTTGAGAGCATGCTATGACCAGTAGTGAGCATGTTTTGATCGCTAGAGAGCTCGGTATGATCATGAATCCCATCAGCAGATACAGCTTCTTCAAGCTCCAAGTCTTCATCATGTTCATCAAAATGATCAGCTTTTCCTCCTTTAGACACCTCCCAGAATTCCTGGAGCAAACAACGGTGTTTGTTAATTAAATATTTAATTAAATAATTGATCAATCATCAATCAATTGGTTGAACGTATGGTGATTAAATCAATGTTTAAATTAATTGGTTTCATGAATGAATGATCAATTAATTAGTTGATTGATTGAATGAGTACCTGAGCTGTTTCTGACTCTTCACTGTAGCATCTGCCCACCCTGTCCCACTCACTCTCCTCCCCTATCAGGCACTTTAAACCGGTTCTGCCGCCATAACTAAAGAAAATACTCTAAACTGGTTCTACAACCATAACTAGAGAAAATACTTTAAACTGGTTCTACTACCAAAACTAGAGAAAATACTTTAAACTGGTTCTGCCACCATAACTAGAGAGAATACTTTACTTTACACTGGTTCTACAACCATAACTAGAGAAAATATTTTAAAATGGTTCTAAAACCATAACTAGAGAAAATACTTTAAACCGGTTCTACCACCATAACTAAAGAAAATACTTTAAACTGGTTTTGCCACAATAACTATAGAAAATACTTTAAACTTGGTCTCCAACCAAAACTAGAGAAAATACTTTAAACCGGTTCTACAACCATAACTAGAGAAAATACTTTAAACTGGTTTTGCCACAATAACTATAGAAAATACTTTAAACTTGGTCTCCAACCAAAACTAGAGAAAATACTTTAAACTGGTTCTACAACCATAACTAGAGAAAATACTTTAAACTGGTTCTACCTCCATAACTAGAGAGAATACTTTACACTGGTTCTACCACCATAACTAGAGAAAATACTTAACACTGGTTCTGCAAACATAACTAGAGAAAACACTTTAAACTGGTTCTACAACCATGAAAAGAGAAAATACTTTAAACTGGTTCTACAACCATAACAGAGAAAATTCTTAAAACTGGTTCTACCTCCATAACTAGAGAAAATACTTTCAACCGGTTCTACCACCATAACTAGAGAAAATACTTTAAACTGGTTCTACAACCATAACTAGAGAAAATACTTTACATTGGTTCTACATCCATTACTAGAGAAAATACTTTAAACTGGTTCTACCACCATAACTAGAGAAAATACTACAAACTGGTTCTACCACCATAACTAGAGAAAATACTACAAACTGGTTCTGCCACCGTTATAACTAGAAAGAATACCTTAACCTGGTTCTACAACCATAACAGAGAAAATACTTAAAACTGGCTCATCAACATAAGTTTGCTTTTTTCGAAAATATCCAGATTAGATAAGTTTTTAAAGTTTATTGAAATCAAAAATAAATTTAAAATGATTTTAGCAGAAATCAAATATTATTGCTAAATATAAAAAATGTAGATATAGATGTTTACATTTAAATTTTAATAATATCAAATACAATTTAAATATAAAAAAGTAGTTAGATAGTTAGTTGGGAACTTCTGTTTGACTAATTCTATGTATGAAGTACATGCATAAACCACTATGATTTCTTACACTTGTTGAATTTGAATATTTTAATATAAGAAATACTTACTCGTGACACATTGGACTAGGAGTGTCTTGCAACAACATTAGTTCACTTTCCTAAATATAAAATTAAACTTTTTGTAATAAAGGGAATGTTTCTGAATTTTCAAGGGGAAAATAAGCCTTCTGGTTCGAAAATAATCATAGAAGTTAAAAAACTATAGTTTTTATAAAAGAACAAAAAATTGAATGATTATAAAATCTTTGAGCGAACTTTCAAAGAGTTTAGTTTTTCACGATTTCTTTGGAACAAATTAAAAAACCGATAGGATTTTTACCGAACAAACGATTCTTTCTTACACACTTTTAAAAAATTATCGTTTTTTACTGATCGAATGATTTATTTAAAGAATTATTATTCACTCAACTATCGTTTACTGGGAAAACAAATGAAATAGATGAAAAATGGATGATATTTTTATGCTCGAAAGAAATAATTTTTTTTGAACAATTGAAAAAAAGAACACGAACGATGAACGAACGGAATGAAAAGAAGTTGAACACGCCCATCTCTCTCCCCCCCCCCCCCCAATAAAAATCTACCTGGCTTGTATCTGAGAATGTATCCCAAGGAAAAGGAACATCCAAGTGCATAGAACCATGTTCATCCAGGTCCTCTATATTTACAATTTAAAGGTATTATTCAAATATTTGGGTAATATTGTTAGTACCAAATATTATCAAAGGAAATGTCGACAATTTTTTAAATCAATAACCATTTAAAGAGAATCACGGTTCGCCCATTAACATACTTTTCATTAAAAAATATAAATTTACTGTTTTTTATCTTAAGAAAGGTTTAATGTGAATTTATAGACAATCAAAGTTTTTTATTAACTTAAATAAGTCTAACTTGAATTAAAAAATGCATATAAGAGGATTCTAAGCTTCTATCTCACATATTGGATAATTTAGATTTGAATCTTTGGAATTTAAAGATTCTGGATTTTAAAATATTTGAAGGATTTTCTCAAAATATGAATTTGAAATAAGAAATATGAAATATCAGGTGCTTTTATGTTATTTTGCACTCCATTTCCTAATAGCAATTTAAATAGCTTTTAAAGATTTCATTTTAAGCCGTCATGTATAAAAATAGTATTTAGCGCGCGTTTCTCTATAAATGTGCGCCTTTTCAAAAAAATGAAAGGCAAAAATTATTTTTCTTTAACCAGCCGCTAACCTTCCATGAGTAATATGTAAGTTGTCAGAAACAACATATGCTAAAATAGGACAAATTATATAATTACCTTCCTCTCTCTCTAAAATAGAATTATCACTTCTTGTTACCACTAACAAAGGAACACTCACTAAAATATCATAAATTCACAAACATTAGTGAATACTAAATATTGTTCACAATATATTCTAAAATAGAATTATCACTTCTTGTTACCACTAACAAAGGAACACTCACTAAAATATCATAAATTCACAAACATTAGTGAATACTAAATATTGTTCACAATATATTCTAATTAAAAAATACATTCTATTCCCTTTACATTAAATGTTAGCAATCTCTACTTTTCAAGATATATTATCTATATCTAATAAGTATAAAGTTGTAATCTCTGTGTGGGTGTCTGTCTGTTTGTTTGGCCGATCATAATTCATTGAAACCCGTGGACCGGTTTGCCTCACATTTTGTTTAGGGAACTCGAGAGAGCCACGGAAATGCTTTTAGAAGTAAACGGCGGGAGAAACTATGAGTAACCTGGGCAATGCTGGGTGCCCAAGCTAGTCATCCATAATTTCAACGGGTTTCTTGTTTTTTTGCCCCCCCCCCCTCACCTGATCTATATGTTGGTGGTT